ATACACATGTACATACATGGATCTTCATTACAGTAACTTAAGCTGAAACCCTAGACTAGATTCCCAAACCTTACATCCGGTCAACTGAAACCCTAAACCCTAAACCCTACTGAGGTCATATTGCCCTGAACCCTAAACCCTCAAAGTAGTTCCTTGTACCATGAACCCTAAACCCTGAACCCTAAACCCTCAAAGTAACTCTTTGTAGATTACTATGCCATCTGAGGTCTTGTTGCAGATCCCCCAGGATCCAGACCTCGCGGATGACTCCGGCGCCACGGCCCTCGCCCTCTCAGCGCCTGTGATGCTAGGGTTTAGGGTTTAGGGTTTGGGGTTTAGGGTTTAGGGTCTAAGCCCAAAAGACCCTAAACCCTACCTGTGACCGAAAGACCTACCTTTCTAAGGTTCCTTAGTATGGTTTCTATATATAGTTCCTTAAAAATACCCTAAACCCTAGACCTTAAACCTTGAACCCTAAAGGAAACCCTAAGCCTTAAACCTTGAACCCTAAAGGAAACCCTAAGCCTTAAACCTTGAACCCTAAACCCTAAACCTTGAACTCTAAACCCTAAGGCTTAAAGCCTAAATCCTAAAGCCTAAACCCCAAACCGGGTTTGTGTCTGCAGGACTGGGGGCTGCTGCGGGCTTTCTGAGATTCAGGGTGGGCTTAGGGCTTAGGGCGTTATGGCTTAGGGTGTTAGGGTAGTTAATTAGGGTCCCTTTCTGGTCCAAGAGATATGTACGGCACCCAAAGAGAAAAGACCTTAGAAGGGACCCTAGTTTAGAGAACTACCCGTTAGGGATTTAGGGGTTTAGCAAACCCAACTCCAATTGTTCAGGATTTACGCTTCAGGGTATTTCAGGGTGGTCAAGCTTTCGAGTCTGAGGGGCACAGGCTTAGGTAGACTTGAAAGGTTAAGGGTTTAGGGGTTTAGGGTCGAGAGTTTAGGGTTCAGGCTGGAGGGTTGTATACTCCATGCCGTACAGCGGGGCTTTGCGGCTCTCGACGTGGATTCCTGGAATATTTCCTGGTTCAAGCGGGATGCTGCAGATGTCTGAATTGGATCTTCCCGAAATATCTTGGACTTTGTGTAAAGAAACCGTAAACCCTAAACCCTGAACCCTAAGCCCCTAAACCCTAAACCCTAAACCCCTAAACCCTAAACCCCTAAACCCTAAACCCTAAACCCCAAACTCTGCGAGTTCGGACTGTCTGCTTTTAAGCCCTAGGAGACCAACTCCCCCCAGAAACCCCAAACCCAAAAATAAGCCTAAGTCCAAACCCCAAGCTCCTAAATCCTGTGCCCTCCGATCCTAAAGCCTAAAATGCTGAAGCTCCCCATGTCACCTAGTATAATTACTCATGCCCTATGCCCAGAAAGTTGGAACATGGATTTGGGATGATCAGTGCTAAATTTCCCTTGTGCTTTACTTTAGGGGACACCAGGACCCAGATGTTCCAACTTTAACGCTCTATGTTATGGCACCCCGAAACCCTAAATCCTAAACACTAAACCCCAAACCCTGAGCCCTCAACCCTAAGCCCTGAAAGGAACGCTTCAAAGGGTCCTTGTTCAAGAAACGCCGAGGTGCGGCACGGGGCAAAGGCTACGGTGGCACTCCTCTTGGAGGCAAGCGCTGGGTTTCAGTGGACTTCGGATGTGTACATGCCCTAAACCCTAAACCCTAAACCCCTACACCCCTAAACCCTAAACCCTAATGGTTTCTACAACTGAAGGATTTGGTTTGGCGTTTCGACGGTTTAGGGTTTGTGGTTGGGGGTTTAGGGTTTATGGTTGAGGGGTTCGGGTTCGAATTGCAGGGTTACTATTCGGGGATCTCAGGGGCCAAGTAGACAGGGCTGCGGGGGTAAGGATTCAAACCCTAAATACCCTAAACCCTAAACCCTTAAGGCTTACTGTGACGGGTTTTAACGGGGTTTCAGCGCCTTTAGATTGGGGCTTCGGGTTGAAGAAAAGGTGAGACCTAAGCAGGGGTTTAGGATTTCTAGTTTAGGGTTTCAGGGCTTGCCTGCATTCCTGCAGTTTCTTGCGGAAAAGCCCCGCAAGAATCCTTAAGTGACGAACCCTTGTCACGGTCAACCACAACCCCCAAACCACGCGCTGAAACCATTGACGGCACCTGTTTGAACAACAGCCCCCTAACAATACAGATCACGTTCTGTCATAAGGGTTTCCGCCCTACAATAAGATTCCGCCCTATATACGTATTCTCTAACACGCAGACGAAATTCAAATTCTAGTTGTGACGGTCCTTATAACCGTTTCGAAAAACCTTGCAACACCAGATTTTTCATTCCCAAGGTCACTATACAATCTATACGAAGCCCTTCAGCCCGAAGTCCCCATAGAACCCTAAGGCCAAAATCCCTTGCCGAAGTTGGCAAAGGGACCTGGGCCAGGACAAAGGGCGAAAGCTGCTTTTGCAACGGACGGTTGATGATATAAATCCTGCAGTACCCATAATAAGGAATACCATAACTCCCATAGTTTAGGGTCCTTAAGGTAATGCAGGCTTTCTACCATCAACAGTATAAAGCCCTACAAAGACATTCGCAAACAGCGTCCAAGAAGCACTGATGTTTGAACCCTTGCAGTAACCGTAACCCTTGTCTAACCCTTAAAGGAACCATCCAAAGAATCCCCAAAATTTCAAGGGGGTCCCATGCAGGAAGCCCGTAAACCAAGAACCCTAAACCCCCGACCCTGAAGCTTGAACCCTGAAGCTCTAAACCCCTCAGCCCTAAGCCCCAAATCTCAACCCCACCCGAAGACCCTTTAAAAGACCCTTAAAGCGTCCCTTAACGTGTCCTTGTACCCTAGATCCTAACCCCTAAAACCTAAACCCTTAACCCCTAAACCCTCAACCCCTAAAAACCCTAAGCCCTCAACCCCTAAAAACCCTAAACCTTAAACACCAAAAAAACCCTAAACCCTCAACCCCCTAAAAAGCCAAAAACCCTCAAACCCTAAAGCCCTAAACCCTCAACCTCTAAAAACCCTAAACTCTCAACCCCTAAAAAACCCTAAAACCACCTTAAACCCTACGCCCTATCACCCCTAAACCCCTAAAAACCCTAAAACCCTAAAAACCCCCAAACCCTAAACCCTAACCCTCTAAAGCCCTAAACTCCAGGCCATGGCGGACACGGAGAGGCGGAGCCACGCCGGAGAGACGGCGCTCTCCGCAGCCCTCCTCTGGGAGCGGGCCATGGGATTGTTGCTTTTTGGCTTAGGGTTGTAGGGTTTTGGGGGGGTTTTAGGGGTTTAGGGCTTTGGTGTTTTAGGGTTTTGGGGCTTTAGGGTTTTAGGGGTATTGGGGTTGTAGGATTTTAGGGTTTTGGGGTTTCAGGGTTTTAGGGTTTTAGGGTTTTAGGTTTTAGGGATTAGGGTTTAGATTTGTTTCCTAAGTTGTTAAAAGAATCAGTGTAAACTGTTGTATGTGCTTCTTGTTTGTGCGTTTTTTCAACTTGGGTTTGGTAAGTCAGTTAGTAGAGAGTCTAGGGTTTAGGGTTTAGGGTTTAGGGTTTAGGGTTTAGGGTTTAGGGTAAGTCAGAGGCGTGAATTTCCAGGCTCATGCGCGGGCACATGTAAGGCTGCAAGGACCTCAATTGGAGGTCCCTGGGACCCTGAACCCTAACGCCCTAAATCCAAAACCCTAAACTGTAGCTATAGAAACCCCCGAAGTATACGGACCACCGCCCAGATCTTGGAAATATCCTTTTTGGTTTAGGGTTCAAGGGCTTGGGGTTTCAGGTTTTATAGGGTTCAGCATAGAAGGGCCTTTAGTATGCTTTAGGGAGGATTTCCTTAACTCGACATCTGGGCATCAGGGGGAGCCCCGATCTTCGCAAGAGTTCCAAACAGGGGGTTTAGGGCTGGAGGATTTCTTTGAGGTTTAGGCTTGGGAGCTGTTTGAGACTTAGGGCTTCTAGTGTTTTTGAAGTTCAATGTTTAGGGTTTAGTGCCGGTGGTATGTAGGATTTCAGGATTCTGGCTCAAGGGATTCCAGACCCAAGAGAGGGTCCACATGGAATTATAGGTCCCAAAAGACCATCCTGAGTATGGTGTTGGGGATTTAATTCCATCCTGGTCGGATATACGAGCCCTCTAGGTACGAAGCGCTAGCCAAACCTTATGAAACCCTTAACTGCAAGGAACATGCAGGGGTCGGAATACTCACTAAACGGAACATTCCTTTTAGGGCTCTCATGATTGAAACTCTAGTAATTAGCTATATGAACCCTTAACCCTAAACCCCAAACCACAAACCCTAAACTCTAGTAGTATATATGGACCCTAAACCCTAAACCCTAAACCCTAAACCCTAAACCGCAAACCCTAAACTCTAGTAGTATATATGGACCCTTAGGGGACGCAGGTTTTGGGGTTGAAGGAAGGCTGAAGCTGGGGACCCCAGAAGGTGCGAACCGACTATGGGGGTCGGTGGTTCGGGGGTTTAGGGTTTAGGGTTTAGGGGTTTAGGGTTTAGGGGTTTAGGGGTTTAGGGTTTAGGGGTTTATGATTTAGGTGTTTAGGGGCTTTGGGTTTACGGTTTAGGGGGTTTAGGGTCTCGGGTTCAGGGTTTTAGACGTAGGGTACAAGCGCACCTACAATACCTCAACCACTCCAGCGAGTTCCACTACCCCTGTAAACCCCTAAACCCTAAACCCTAAACCCCTAAACCCCTAACCCCCTAAACTTAGAGCCATTTCCTTACAGCCCACCCGAAACCGTCAAAGCCAGGACCTCGAGTTCCAGCCCCCAAACCCTGAAACGCTGAAGCCCAAAGCTTGTACCCAAATTATAGTACATTATGGAATAGTATGGTGAAGTGTAGTATATATAGTACATTATATTGTAGTATAGTATAGTGTAGTATATTATAGTATTTTACAGTACATTGTGGTATAGTATATTATGGTATATGAACGATATATCATAGTATATTATGGTAGACTATAGTACATGGTTCCGAAGGAGCACTGGGAAGTTGCTCGACTGTTGATGGATGCCGGCGCAGCGAAGGACCAGGCGCTTTGTCTGGCCTCTGCCAGGGGGCAGGCGGCCGCAGTGCAGTTTTTGCTGGATGCGGAGACGGACATCGAACAAGGCAACTCCATGGGGGAGACTCCACTGTTTCTCGCACTCCTCCACGGCCACTGGGAGGCGCGGGGTGTAGTGGAGAAGTTCAGGCACGTCTCTAGCACCACTGGTGTCCCGAGCCTACAGTACGCAGCCAAGCCTTTGTCTGCAAGCCACCCAGAATCGCCAAAGCACGAAACATGTTCAGGTGACGCGCCTCCTGACGGATGCTGGTGGTGACCTCAGTTGACTTGAGTACTAAATACATGCTAATTCCTAAGCCGTCCTTCTCCCGGAAAGAGCTCAAAGGTGGTGACAGGCACGGTAGCGAACCCTAAATTGGTCCTAAGCCCTGGAACAGTAAACTCCGAATCGTAGTCATCACCAAGACCGCGCGAAACTAGACTACAACTCTCATTTATCCCCAGAAGTTCCTAGAACAGCACCGTAACCCGGATAGAACTCTTTTAAGGAGCCCTTAAAAGGATCCCAAAGCCCCAACCGTTATAGATCTCTTTAAAAGAACCCGAAAAGGAACCAATACTGTAGGGTTTAGGGCTTTAGGGATTTAGGGATTTAGGGTTTTAGGGTTTAGGGTTTAGGGAGCGCCCAGGTGGCGACAAGGAGAAGGCGCTGTGGCTCGCAGCCGCGCGTGGGCATGGAAACGTGGTGCGACTGCTGCTGAATGCAGGTGGGAGTCTCCGGAAAGATAGGACCTCAGTATACACCTCTAAATAAATCGACTCTAGACTGTTCCGTACATATATATATATAAATAAAATTGTATGTGTGTATGTATGTATGTATGAATTCAGGTAGGTAGGTAGGTAGGTAGGTAGGTAGGTAGGTAGGTAGGTATACCTCATGTATCGCAGGATCCTTGTGGTGAGGTTCTCCAATTTTGTACCTACACCCTAAACCCTAAACCCTAAACCCTAAACCCTAAACTTACGAAACCGCGGGAGCCGAGGCGTGGATATTGACAAGCCCAACTCAGATGGCGAGGCTCCTCTTTTCCTCGCCCTTCTCCATGACCATTGGGAGGCCTTTAGGGTTTGGGATAGGGTTTAGGTTAGGGTTTGGGTTTAGGGTTTTGGGGTTGAGGGTTGAGGGCTCAGGAGCTGGGGTTTAGGGTCTTTTTTGTTGTTTTTGGTTTCTTCTAGTTTTTGGGGGTTGCAGGGTTTCCCTCGTGCAGGGTTTGGGTGCCGATTCGTGGGCTTTATGTGCTCAGGCTTTAGGATCTAGGACTTGAAAGACTTTTTTTCCCATGTCTCAGCCCCGAACTCTAAACCCTAAGCCCGAAACCCCTAAACCCTAAACCTTAAACACCTAAACTCGAAACCCCAAACCCAAAACCCCGAAGCCCTCATCCCTAAACGAAAAGCCCTGAGCCTTACACCTGTCAAGGTTGCCTGCCTGCTCATGGATGCTGGGGCCGACAAGGAGACTGCGTCGTTCTTGAGCATATTGTGGAGTTTCCGTTTTGTAAATCTAGAGCCTAGAATAGGCGTACAAAGGAACAGCCAAAATACCCTCCGAGAGCAGCACAGGAAAAGGTTCTGTCCTACGTTGCCTCACGCAATTTCTTTGAGCTGGCCTTCCTGCTGCGTATGTGGACGAAGCCTGGAAGTGCCAGAGAGCAAAAAAAGGGGGCCCTAATTTAAGGAATTTGCCCTGAAATCGTGAGAAGAAGCTTTATACAGTTTAAGACAGATTCCTATACCTTTTCGGAAGATTCCTTATAGCAACTCGTATCATTCGTAAGAAGCCCCCTAAACCCTAAACCCTATATTAGCCCCCTATAGTTTCAGCTACATATTCGCCGTGGGCCCTCTGAAGTGGGGCAAAGCGAGCTCTCAGCCAAAGGAGCTGAAAAGCCGGAAGCCCCAAAGCTTCGAGCCCCATCAGAGCGTGGACCTTTGGGTTTGAGGGTTTAGGGTTTTAGGGTTTAGGGTTTAGGGTTTAGGGTTTTAGGGTTTCGGGTTTAGGGCTTTAGGCTTTAGGGTTTATAGATGAGGGTTTAGGGTTTTAGGCTTTAGGGTTTTAGGGTTTAGGGTTTAGGGTTTTAGGGTTTAGGAGATGAGTCTGTAGAGGTACTGTATATTGCTACCATAACATTACTACAGAGGTTCCAGGGTTACTATAAGGTTACCAGAAAGTTACTATGGGGTTTCTGTAAGGCTTACTGCGAGATTCCTTCCAGGTTGCGGTGGGCGGGGGGTTTCCATAAGGTTACTAGAAGGTGTTCGTGCAGCTGCGCCTTCTTGATCGTACTGTTGTTGATGATATAAATCCTGCATTACCTTAAGGACCCTAAACCATGGGACTTATGGTATATTCATTATTATGGCCAATGCAGGATGTATATCATCAACCCTATGTTGTTTGGAGGGACCTACGAGGAGCTTGGGAAGCTGAGTTGGTTACGTGAGATTTGGAAAGGCCCAGAACGGAGATCAGGGCTTTAGTGGTGTAGGCTTCAGGGTTCAGGGTGTTTAGGGTTTGGATGCTTCTAACTGCTTCCCAAGTCCCACCGTCCTTTCAGTAGGTTTAGGATTTAGGGCTGGGCCGCAGCGAGCTTCATGTCGGCTGCAGCTGACGGAGGAACCGATCATCACCGCGGAAAAGCGTCTCAAGTTCATTCGCGAGCTTTCCAGGGATTCCTAACACTGCGTGCAAGCCCTATAGACGTAGGCCCTTCGATCCTGAACCCTTATACCGAATCCCAAACCCTAAACCCTAAACTCTAAATCCTAAAACCTAAGCTCAACCCCGAAGCTCAAGTTGTTCGCCTCGAACTCACGTTCGGAACTCCCCGACTGACGCCTAAAACTCCTTTTGCCCTCGATGCTTGCGGGGTGCCAAGCCTTAAATGGCTTTGGTCCCGAGAACTCAACAAAGGCCCTTACCTCGAACTAGCCGGCTGGTGCCTGCTGTAGCTTTTCCTAAACCCTAAACCGTGGCTTCGAGGTTTTGTTCGGCAGCTTGAAGGGTTCGACGAGGTATCGGGTTTTGAGGAAGGCTTTGGCGATTTGGAGGCTGAGTGCTTGGTGGTCTCAGGACTTAGGGCTTGGGGTTTCAGCTTTTTTTCGCCTTCTCTGACAAAAAGCCTTAAACCTTTCGACCGTAAACCCAAAACCCTGCAAGTTCTACGAAGCTAGAGTATACATACCTTCGAAACACCGGAGCCTGAGCTCCCTAGACGTTAAACCCTAAGCACTGTAAAACGCTTTTGCTGTTATGAAACAACCCTTGAAGGACCTCGTCGAACTATACCTTCAACCCTAAACCCTCAACAACCCTAAACCCTAAACCCTAAACCCCAGACCCTAAGCCGCTTTACCTTGAACCCCAAACCACCACGAGCGAGCTAAGGAGGGACGTCCCGCCTTTGAGGCCAAAGCTCCGGCCCTAGCCATCTCTTTCGGGGCTTCGGGTTTAGGGTTTTAGGGTTTAGTGTTTAGGGTTTAGGGTTTTAGGGTTGGGGTTTAGGGTTTAGGCTTCAGTCATCATTACCTTCAGGATGGGCTCGACTTCGGGGTATCGGATTACGCTGGAATTCTTGTCGTGATTACTTTTCATCTTGGTTTTCACACTGAACCCTGAGCCTTAAACCCTAAACCCATAAACCTATTCCAATATTACTACCTATTCGGCCAAAGGAAGCGGAGGCACGAGGGTGCCTGATGCTCTTGCAGGCAGACCAAGTGGCGGTGGACCGCGGTGGCTGGGGACTAGCCGCAGAAGCTTCGTTGGAGTTGGCACCCCCTTTTCATCAGTTTGCGGCGCACATGGCTCCAGACCCCACCGAACAGCCAATGTCGCGCCTCATGGATCCTTGCCTACAACACTTGAAAGAGACCGACGATTACATCGATCGCCGGAAAAAGCACAACAACAAGCACAGCAGCCACGGCAGCGAGGCCCAGAGGACACGCCAGGGCCCAAGCTAAAAGCAAAGCTTCCAGGGGCCGCCGCGCCAACCATTCGTGTGGCGGCTTTGGTGAATTCACCAAAAGCCTTATGTGGTATGGTCTTTGGGTCCAAAAGCCTCAAAATATGAGTCCTTAGAGCCTTATGGTCCTTTAAGGGCTCTGCAAGGGTCCTAGATGGGCCCCTAGACTCATCGCCAGGCCCGGAGCATTCCTGCACGAACCAGGGGCACTATAGGGGTCGGAATAAAGGGTGTAGGGCTTGTCCCTTGTCGTCCGTACACATAGTTCTACTACAAATTACATCAGCAGTAAGGCCCCAGTACTAGGGTTGTCATATAGGGGATGTCCTATGGTTATATACCACAAGGTACACCGAAACCCTAAGCCCTCAACCCTGCATCAGGGTAGTCGTGAGTGTTGCAGTTCTTCCTGCAACATTCCGTGTGCTTTCTGTTTAGACTACGACTTCTGGGACACAAGGGACCTTCGAACTCTACTGGTGCGAGGCCTAAACCCCAAAACCCTAAACCCTAAACCTTTGAGACCTGCAACCTTTACTTTACCCCGAGAACCCTAAGCCCTAAACCCCAAAACCCCGTACTTAAACCCTAAAGCCCCAAGCCCTATATAAACCTTGAAATCCTAAACCCTTACTACCTCCTGAGGCCCTTTGCCCGAAACCTGAACAGTAACAACCCAAAACCCATGCTAAGCCCTAAGACCGAAGCCCTGAACCCTAAACCCTTAAGGTTTAGGGCTTAGGGTTTAAGAGCCCTAAACCCTTAGGGTTTAGGGCTTATAGGGTTTAAGAGCCCTAAGCAAGTCCAACTCCGCGTCTCTTCAGGTGCCTCTGGAGGATGCCGGTCTAACATCGACTGGGGGATGGCAGGCGGCCATCTCTCGGTATTCCTGAATAAAGGGTTTAGGGTTTAGGGTTTAGGGTTTAGGGGGTTTCCTTTAAGAGTACCTTTAAGGGTTCCTTTGAGGGTATGACAAGGGTTTTATAGGACACATTAAATCCTAAACCCGAAAACCCTACAATACTAGTCCCGTAGGGTTCCACAACATAACTTTTATTGTATCTTAAAGCCCTAAACCCATAAACACCAAACCCAAAACCCCAAAACC